GCCGCCCAGGTACAGGTGTGCCAGGTGCAGCAGCGAGGGGTGTCTACCGCAGCCCCTCAGAGCAGATGGGTGTGTGCGTGCACAAGTGTGTGTGTGCGTGCGTGCCACGGGGAAGGGAGTTCTATTGTAACCTCGAGGCCTTCAGTTGAGACCTTTGGTCCCATCTTCAGGTGAAGTTAAAGGGTCACAGCGAGACATTGACAGCCTTGAACAGGATGTCACTGCGTCCAAGGTGCGTCCCTGAGTGCTCACATTACCGGCGCGGCCCTGGGAGTGAGTACTGGGAAAGGAAATTCTGCAGTTTTCTTTTTGTACCGTAATTGTCATATGGAATCAATTATTTGGGGTAAAAGGTTTCCTAATGCAAACATTTAAAATAGGTCAGCATTTTGCCCTGGCTGGTGTGGCTCAGTGGATTGAGTGCCAGCCTGCGAACTTAAAGCTCGCCAGTTCAATTCCCAGTCAGGGCACATGCCTGGGTTGCAGGCCAGGTCCCTAGTTGGGAGTGTACAAGAGGCAACCAATCGATGTTTCTTTCCCTCCCTTCCTTTTCTTTCTAAAAGTAAATAAAAATAAAATCTTTAAAAAATAACAATAGGTTGCCACTTGAAGCCATTGGCACTTCTCAGGTGGCTCCTCCTCGAGTGGCTCTGTGGCGCTGCCGGTGGGTGGAGACGCCACCCAGGGCTCCTTCTGTCCGTCAGCTGCAGGCGGCGTGTGTGGGCGGGGCTGGCCCGCTGGCTGTCCTCTGCTGTGAGAAGGCAGTGCTGGCCTGGGTGCACTGCCCCGCACCTGCACACACTGGCGACTCCCCCCACACCTCGGGTTCTCTTAAAGGGCGAGAGGACAACAGCATGGGACGGAGGCGTGTCCAGGGTTGCTCAGCGGACCTCAGACCCCGGCTGCCCTCGCCTTGTGCATCCAGAGACCTGTGACTGCAGGGCTCCAGGGAGCCTGGCACCGCCCACCACGGCTCTGTAAGGCCCCAACTTCGTTTTTATTTTTAATGTATGGTTGCCTCTTGTGCGTCCCCTGCTGGAAACTGGCCTGCAACCCAGGCGTGTGCCCTGACTGGGAATCGAACCGTAATCCTGTGGTTCGCTGGCCCACGCTCAATCCACTGAGCTACACCAGCCAGGGTCCCCAACTTCTTTTCCTTTGAATAGTTTTGTCACAGTAAAACCCACACAATGAAATTCACCATTTTAGCAGTTTTCTGTGCACAGTTCCGTGGTGTTAGGCACACTCATACTGCTGTGTGGCTGTCGCTGTTCCCATCTTCAGCTGAACTCTGTCCCCACCAAACAGCCCCCTCCCCCACCCGGCCCCTCCATCTCACCCTCTGTCTCTGTGACTCTGAGGGCTCCAGGGGGTGTCACGGGGGTGGGATCACACAGCACTTGTGAAGGGTCTGTTTCATGGAGGAGTGTCATGTCTCCAAGGTCCATCCAGGGGGCAGCATGTGTTGCAGGGTCCTTCCTTTTGTAAAATTGAAACTACTGGTTTATAAAGTTACAGAGTTTCAGGTATACAGTTCTACAATACGTCACCTCTGTGTTGTACCGTGCGTTCACCGCCCCGAGTCAGGTCTCCTTCCATCACTTCTACCTCTCCCCCTCCTTTCCCTCTGGTCACCACTGAGTTTTTCTTCTTCGCTCAGTCCCTTCACCTCTGCCACCCATTCCCCCCAACACCCCTCCCCTGTGACAGCCGTCAGTCTGTTCTCCGATTTTGTGAGTCTAATTCTAGTTAGTTTATTTTGTTCATTAGATCCCACATATAAGTGAAATACAGTACTTGTCTTTCTCTGACTGGCTTACTTCACTTAGCATGATACTCACCAGGCCCATCCAGGGCGCTGTCACAAAGGGTGAGATTTCCTCTTTTGTTACCGCTGGGTCGTATTCCACTGTGTAAACGCGCCACAGCTTTTTCATCCACTCATCCGTTTATGGGCACTTGAGCTGCCTCCAAATCTTGGCTATTGGAAATAGCACTGCTGTGAACACAGGGGTGCTGATGTTCTTTCGAATTAGTGCGTTGGGTTCCTTTGGACATATTCCCAAAAGTGGGGCTGCTGGGTCAAAAGGCAGGTCCGTTTTTCATTTTTTGAGGTATCACCATACTGCTTTCCACAGTGGCTGCTCTGGTCTGCATTCCCGCTGCAGTGAGTGAGGGCTCCCCTTTCTCCGCGTTCTTGCCAGCGCTTCTTTGCCGATTTATTGATGATGGCTGTTCTGACTGGTGGTTTTAACTGGCATTTCTCAGATGATTAGTGATGTTGAGCATCTTCTCATGTGTCTTGGCCATCTGTGTGTCCTCTTGGGAGAAGTGTCTGTTCAGGTCCTTTGCCCATGTTTTTTTTTTCCTTTGCCCATTTTTTAATTGGATGGTTTGTGGGTTTTTTGGTGTTGAGTCTTAAAAGTTCTTTGTGAAATTTGCATAGTTAACCCCTTATCAGATGGCAGATATTTCTCCCATTCAGTGTTTTCCCTTTTGTTTTGTTGATGGTTTCCTTCTCTGTGCAAAAACTTTTTAGTTTGATGTAGTCCCATTTGTTTTTTTTTCTTTTTCCCCCCTTGCCCATAGACATAGATCAGAAAAAATATTGCTGCAAGAGGTGTCCAGCATTTTATTGCTTATGTTTTCTTCTAGGATTTGTATGATACGAGTCTATTTTTTTTTTTTTGTGAGTCTAATATTTAAGTCTTTAACTTGGTTTGAGTTTATTTGCATGTGTGGTGTAAGAAGAAGGTGGTCTAGTTTCATTTTTTTTCCCCAACGTGTCTGTCCAGTTTTTCAACACCATTTGTTGACTAGTCTGTCATTACCACACTGCGTGTTCTTGTCTCCTTTGTCATATATTAATTGGCCATAAATGCGTGAGTTTATTTCTGGGCTCTCTCTTCTGTCCTGTTGATCTGTGTTTTTATGCTAGTACCATGCTGTTTTTGGTCACTATGGCCTTGAAATACAGTTTGATATCACGTAGTATGATTCTTCCAACTTTGTTCCTCTTTCTCAAGATTGCTGTGGCTATTTTGGGTCCTTTGTGGTTCCATGTAAATTTGTGGAATATTTGTCCTAGTTCTGTGAAATAGGCCATGGCTGTCCTGACAGGAATTGAGCGCAGAGATTGCTCTGGGTAGTGTGGACATTTTAATGTTAATTTTCCCTGTCAGTGAACACTGTCTGTGCATCCACTTATTTGTGTCTTCTTTAATTTCTTTCTTCGGTGTCTTATAATTTTGTGAGTACAGGTCTTGTATATCCTTTGTTAAATTTATTCCCAGGTATGTTTTTTTCATGAAATTGTAAATGAGAGTGTTGTCTTAGTTTTCCTTCTGGTAGTTCATTATTGGTGTATAAAAATGCAACTGACTTCTGAATATTTTTACTGACTGTGTCCTGCTACTTTAATGAAGTCACTCATCAATTCTAGTAGCTTTTTGGTGGAATCTTTAGGGTTCCCTAAGATCTCACTGAGTTCATCCATTCTTCCCCTAAGTTCCCTGAGCATCCTTATAACCATTGTTTTGAACTCTGTATCTGATTAATTGCTTGCCTCCTCTTCATTTAGCTCTTTTCCTGGAGATGTCTCCTGTTCTTGAATTCGAGGAATGCTTTTTTGTCTCGACATTTTGGCTGCCTCTTTGTGTTTGTTTCTATGTAGGCCATGACCCCCGGTTCTGTTAGGGTGGCCTTGTGCAGGAGGTGTTCTGTGGGATCCAGTGGCACAGTCTCCTTGATCACCTGAGCCGGGGGCTCCAAGAATGTCCTTTGTGGGGGAGTGCAGGGTCAACCCCCGGGCTGCCTGGCTGGAAGCTCAACACTGACCACGAGCTGCTGTGCAGGCACTGACCACACGGAGAGGAATATGTCTCAGTAAAGTCTGGTCCCCGGTCCTGGTCCCCCTGTGGGTATGCGGCTTGTGAAGCTAATCGGATCCTGCTCTGATGATGTCTGAAGCTGGCCACAGGGTGTGTTGGTTCAGGGGCCTCTCCTGGTGGCCTTTGGTGCCAGCCAATTCCAGGTGCTTCCTGTGACTGGCCCTGGGCGACCAGGGCTGCAAAGCAGTCCATCATGTATGGTTGCCTCTGCAGGGCCTGAGTGAGCGCAGGAAGGTCCAAACAATATCCCAAGGTTGGTTTTTACCAGCACTGGGGCCTGCTCAGCAGTGTCCCAAGGTATCTCAAGACTCACCTCCACAAGTCCCCAGGGTCGGATGCCTGTTAGACTCAGTCACTGAAGGAGCCTCTGGCAATACTTGAGTTGCTTGAGGCAGGTTCTGCATGAGTCACCGGGTAGAGGTGAGTGGTGTTCTCCAGACTGATACAGGTTTGAACTCGGGGTCAGCGTGGGGTCTGATGCCCCTCATCACATGGTCCAGAGTACAGCAGGTCCCGCGGCCCTCTGCTGGGTGCTCGCTCACACACCTTTGAGCAGTGCACAGGGCCCCAGGCATGGCTTTCTTTGTGACGGTGGAATTTGACGGTGGAATTGAAAAGTTGAAACAGCCACATCCCAGGGCTGAAGGTGTCTGGGATCTGTAGTTGGAGATCAGCCCTGTGAACTCGGCCCCGAAGAGGGTCCGTGGCTTCCCAGAGGCCAGGGAGCTGCTTCTTGCTGTGGGTGACTCGGGTCCCTGGGACGCGGTGATGGAGGGAGAGCAAGGTGGGGTCATGCAGCCATGATCCCGTCACCGTGTCATGAAAAGTTTAGTCCCCTCCTGTGTGGCCGATCCTAGCAGATGCCTCCCTACACTTCCTCCCTGAGAGCTGCCGTTCTGTCCAGACGTCCAGGTGTGTGTTCACCGGCTGCTCGGGCAGCACACTCTCGGCCTTCTGCCCCCAGGGCTGGGCGAGCCAGGCTGCCTGGGGTTTCGAGGGCAAACGAGGTGTGCATGTGGCAAGTGAAGGTTTGGGGCGTGGGTTGAAAACGCTGTCCGAACCATTAGGGCTTTTAAAGAGAATTTTTGTGTGTGTCTTCTCCCACGCCAGACCTAAGCAGCCAAAGTGAATGCTTAGCGCGCTCTCAGGGAAGCACAGCTCTGCCAACACCACTGCCAGACGCCACCGGAGCAGCGACCGAGGCACCCGGAGGAAGAAGGCGGTTCAGGGCCCTCCCAGCAGTGAGTCTGTCTGCAGAGCTGACTGCTGCTGGAGCCGGCGGGGCTCTCAGACACGAGAAGGTTACGATCTGATTCATAACTTTTAAAGATCACTCTGATTTATTTTTTATTTATATGTCTTTGATTTATTTTTTAGTTTTATACTTTTTAAAAATATTTAATTATTGTTCAGGTACAGTTTTCTGTTTTTTACTCTTTTTATACTTTTAATAATTAAAAACATTTTAAAGAGTGGAATTTTTTAAGATTTTACTTCCCCATTTTTAGAGGGGAAGGGAGGGAGAAAGCGAGAGAAACATCGATCAGTTGCCTCTCGCTCATTCTCAACTGGAGCCCTGACTGGGAATTGAACCGGCGACCTTTTGCTTTGAAGGCCGGTGCTCAATCCATTGAGCCACACCAGCCAGGGCAGTTTTTTTTAATTTTAAATTTGCCCTCTTCCCCCTCCCCCACCCCTTTCCTGTGATGTCACTCCGAGATTTGACATTTGGAATGTTGCTGGAGATGCGCCCGGGGAGGAGGTAGGATTTGCCTGGCGATCTTCAGCCGGCGTGCCCTGCACTCGGGTGTGCCCCGAGAATCTGTAACCCGCCACACCCGACTGAGGGGCACTGGTCTCTCTCAAGGCTTTTAGCATTCTTTTTTTCCTCTTTTTTTCTCATTTCTTCTTTTTTCCCATTTCTCCTCCCCCCCCTCATTTGTTCTTTCTCTCTCTCTTTTTTCTATTGTCTTAGATGTTTCTAATGAGCTGACTGACCTTCTAAATGGTCCACAGACCACAGCAAGACATTTCTTGAGGCTCCTGCTTGAAACCACAGTGTCATTTTTTAAATGTGACAACCAAAGGGAAGAGGGTCAGTGCCCCCGACGAGATAGTCGGGTATTTCATGTTTTAAAAACCTGCGTGGCACGCCGGATGAACATCGCTCATCGAGACAGATGAAGAGGGTGGCGTGTGTGCTTCAGGTACAGAGAGCGGACACGCAGCCGGGAGGCAGGAGAGATGAAGCCAGCAGACGGGAGCGGCCGCCCCTCAGAGGCCTGTGAGTGAGGGGACAGGCAGGGGAACAGAAGACCCTCTATGAAGAAGGGAGGGCGGGGGACAGGGGACCCTCCATGGAGGAAGCAGAGCAGGGGAAGGGGTGAAGCCTGGGAGGGGGGGGGGGAGGGCAGGGCACTCTGGGCAGAGAAGGGGAGAGGAAACAGAGGACCCTCCATGCATGGGGCAGCGTCTCCTGTCACCTGTCCCTCATCCCCTGGCCTTCCTGTGCTTACCCGTCCGTAAAAGGTCCTCTGTCATCCCTCTCCTACCCCCCTGTTCTAACCCTTCCCTGGAGGGTCACCTACCACTCCTGCCCTGCCCTCTCCGTGGAGGGCACCCTACACCCTACCGCTGGCCCTGTGCCTCCATGGCAAGTCCCCTACCTACTTCCGTCCTGCCCCTGCATGGAGGGGCCACTGCCTACTCTGCCCTGCTCCTTCCATGGAGGGTCCTCTGTACACCTGGCTCTGCCCACTCCATGGAGGGTCACCTACCACTCCTGCCCTGCCCACTCCCTCCATGGCAAGTCCCTTACCTACTTCCGTCCTGCCCCTGCATGGAGGGGCCACTGCCTCCTCTGCCCTATTCTCTCCATGGAAGGTCCCCTACCCCTGCCCCCTCCATGGAGGGGCTCCCTCCCCCTCCCCCTGCCCCCTCCCCCCTCCATGGAGGGTCACCTCCCCCTCCCCCCTGCCCTGTCCCCTCCATGGAGGGGCTCCCCCCCCGCCCTGTCCCCTCCATGGAGGGTCACCTCCCCCTCCCCCCTGCCCTGTCCCCTCCATGGAGGGGCTCCCCCCCCGCCCCTGTCCCCTCCCTGGAGGGGCCCCCCCCCCCCCCCTGCCCTGTCCCCTCCATGGAGGGTCACCTCCCCCTCCCCCATGCCCTGTCCCCTCCATGGAGGGGCTCCCCCCCCTGCCCTGTCCCCTCCATGGAGGGTCACCTCCCCCTCCCCCCCGCCCTGTCCCCTCCATGGAGGGGCTCCCCCCCTGCCCTGTCCCCTCCATGGAGGGGGCTCCCCCCCATGCCCTGTCCCCTCCATGGAGGGGCTCCCCCCCCTGTCCCCTCCTGGGGTCCCCCCCCGCCCTGTCCCCTCCATGGAGGGGCTCCCCCCCCGCCCTGTCCCCTCCATGGAGGGGCTCCCCCCCCGCCCTGTCCCCTCCATGGAGGGTCACCTCCCCCCCCCCCCCGCCCTGTCCCCTCCATGGAGGGGCTCCCCCCCCGCCCTGTCCCCTCCATGGAGGGGCTCCCCCCCCGCCCCTGTCCCCTCCATGGAGGGGCTCCCCCCCCGCCCTGTCCCCTCCATGGAGGGGCTCCCCCCCCCGCCCTGTCCCCTCCATGGAGGGGCTCCCCCCCCCCCTGCCCTGTCCCCTCCATGGAGGGGCTCCCCCCTTTCCCTGCCCTGCCCCCGTGATGGAGGGTCCCCTGTCCTCCCTGCCCTGTCCCTTCCATGGAGCATCTTCTGTTCCCTTCCCTGCCCGTCGCTCACAGGTCTCTTCGTGGCGTTCGCTCCTGTCTCTGGTCTTCATGTCTCCTGCCTCCGGGCCACGTGTCCCGGTCTCTGTCCCTGAAGCACTCATTTCACCGTCTTCATCTGTCTAAATCCTACCTGTGCTCTCAAGGCACATCTCATCTGTGATTTCAAATGTCAAATCACGGTGACATCTTTAAAACATATAAATCAGATGATACCATTCTCGTGCCTGAAAGCCTCCGTGGTTGTGACGGCACCTTCCACCCACACGAGGGCCCTTTACCTGCCCACTTGCCCTGCCCTCCGCCCCAGCCAGCCTGGCTGTCCCTGTCCCAAGGGACACATTCAAACAGCCAAGTCTGAGTCTTAATGTGATAAGGTCTGGGGGAGCTCTCCCCTGACCCTGCTGGGGAGTCACTGCAAAGGCCTCCACCCAGCACAGTGGGATCTTCTGGCAACAGATCACAGAGCTAAGACAGGTCACAGTGGTGAGACAGGTCATAGAGGTAACCTGGCAACCACCCTCGGTCAGCCAGGTAGGCCAGTTGAAGCTGGATAAATAGACTTCACGCCAAGGTTTTGGGGGCAGGGGCAGAAGCCCGGACAGGGAGGGAACTGGCCCAGCAGGGGCAGGCTCTGCCAGCACCGCGTGAGCGGGGGCGGGCCTCGCAGAGCCTCTGGATGGAGGGAGCCCAGCGGCAGCCGAAGAACCTGCCGCAGGTTTCCGACCTGCAGCGCCTGTGACCACGCACTTCGTGGTGTGGGCCGCGACGGGAAACCACTGTTGACCCTGTCGCTCCCTGGTCACATCACCTAAGTCTGTTTCCTTCATGGGTTAGTTCTTCTTAGTTCTTAGTTCTCAGCACCTGAAAGGGGGCCTGTGCAGGCCCTGCCCCCGAGACCCTGGCGCAGCGGGGGCCGCAGAGGAGCTGATGGCGCACACACGTTGAATGAATTCGGGAGTGAGGGGCTCTGCTCTGATAGAATAAAATTTTGTTTTTGTAGTAAAGTCAATTTCTTAACCTGTAAATGCATTTGATTTTCTTCACCTCATTAGGACACCCAAAATGAATTCACGAGTGGAGGGAGAGGTTCCTGACCGCAGGCAGGCTGGCACTAGGATGCGCCTCCTGTCCCCCGTCCCCACACACCAGCCCTTTGGCCTCTGGTGGTCGGGTGACCCTGGTGTTTCTTCTGGGGGGGCCAGGGGACCCCCATCCCAGAGCTGTGACGGCCCTGGTGATCTTAGCCCCTTGAGTTTGTTTTCGTCCATTTCTTACTCAGCGACTGTGGCCATGGGGGGTCGGGGCAGATTCTATGCTGTGTGCTCAGTGGCTGCAGGCCTGCAGGGGGGAAGCCAGTATGGGGGGCCCTCCTGAAGCCCCCCGCACTAGCTGACCTCCTGCCTTGCCATTCCCTCAACAGCAACTTCCCTCAGTTCCGTTTGGGGTTCCCAATAACAGTTTCAGGGACACAGTGATGTCAGGTCATGACCGGATGGCCTGTGCCTGTGGCCACAGGGCTTGCTGAGGTGGAACCTGAGTGGAGGCGACCTTCCCCAGCTGTGGTCCTGGTGGCGAGGGCTGAGCAGGGGTCTCTGAGGGCCTCTAAGCAGCTGAGCTTAGGGAACCGCAGCCGAGTGAGGCTCCAAGTGTTTGCCCAGACGCGTGGCTCCACGGGGCACAGGGGCCTATGTGCTCCCGCCCTGGGGATGGCCTGGGGGGCTGCCCCTCCAGCTCCTGACCTGCCCTGGGGCTTGTGGAGGCCCAGGTCCGTGGCTTGGCAAGTAGGACTGCCAGATGGAGCAAATCTAACAAAATATTACATGAGACACGTGAATGTGGAAAGATTGCTTATCTGAAATTCATTTTTATTTTATTTTTTAAAGATTTTACTTATTTATTTTTAGATAGAGGGGAAGGGAGGGAGCAAGAGGGGGAGAGAAACATTAATGTGCGATTGCCTCTTGTGTGCCTCCTGCTGGGGACCTGGCCTGCAACCCAGGCATGTGCCCTGACTGGGGATCGAACCAGCAACTCCTTTCTTCGTAGGCTGGAACCATACCAGCCAGAGCTGAGATTCAGTTTCAGTTGGGCACCCTATTCACAAAACCTCCTAGTCCAGGGTACCAGAAACCCAGCCTCAGACTCTGGAGCCCGGGTAGCTCACGAAAGGAAAAATTGAGTCACTCCTGCAGGCCTCAGTCTCCCAGTCTGTCAAGTGGGACGGGACAGAAAGCTTCTTACACAGTTCAGGCCGGAGCAGCTCGGAGACCAGCTCCGGGAGGCCTTTGGGATCCAGACATACAGGCCCGGGAAGGCCCACCCTGCCAAAGCCACCAGGGGCAGCAGCACCCACTGCTTGTGGCTCCTCTGCAGGTTGGTGGGGGCATCCCTGACCAAGTTGTCAGGTCACTCAGTCACTCTGCAAATGCTGACAGAGCCCATTGGGACAGGAGGGCTGTGGGGACAGGAGTGTGGCCTGACACAGGGAGATCCAGCTCCTGCCACATCAGGGTACCCAGAGCCTTGAGGGAGGGGCTCCCGGCAGCCTTTTTCCCACACCAGGCTGCTACCCCCAAAACCCTACCCGAGCCCCAGTGGGGGAGTCCACTCCCAGCTCAGCCCTGGCACTCGTGCCTCAGGCCCAGTGAACAACAGCTGGTTGATCTTTGCTAGCTGTCTTCTTGCTGCCCCCTGCTGTCAGGAGTGGGTAATACCCGCCCATCAGTCAGCTGCTGAAGTGCCCTCAGGCTCCTGCAGTCCTGGGGCTCTGCTCACAGTCTGCCCAGCCCTGGCTGTGCAGCAGGTGAGGCCGAGGGAAGCAGAGGGTGCTGCCCATCCCCATCCCCCACTCCCTGTGCCTGCCCTGAAGCCAGGGTCCTGGTCCTTGTCCCCACCCACCAGTACCACTTCTGCAGGGCTCCGTCTGAGCTCTTCCCACCCTGGGGCTGGCTGCCTGATGGGGTGCCTCACCCTAGCCCCAGCTATGGCCCCACATCTAGAGGAGCCAGGGGCCCCTCAGAGTCCTCTCTAAGACAGAGCTGGGACGGACCCTGTCCCATGGGGAGGCTTTGCATACCCCACAGGTTTTTGTACAACCTTCCCTCCCAGCGCTGGGTGGCAGGCAGTATGGCCTTGACCATGTGGAGGCCCGGCCGACCGCCGGGGCCACACCCCCAGATCTCCCAGACACCGGCACAGGGAGGCTCAGCGAGCACGTGCACCACCTGGCATTCATCTGCTACCTTAGTTCTGTTGGAGACGACACTCTTTTTAAAAAAATTATTATTCTGTATTTTTCTCTCTTTTTAAAAGCTGTTCATGTACAGTTTTCTCCATTTTTCTGCCACCCCACCCCCACCTCCTGCCCTCAGTCCTTCCCCACTTTGGCTCTGTCCATGGGTCCTTTATACATGTTCCTTGACGGCCCTTTCCCTTTTCCCGTTACCCTCCTCCCCCTCCCCTGAAGACGACACTGCTGCCTTTCGAACTGTAATACCCACAAGTCACCTGGGCTCCTGTTGAGGGCAGCTTCTGATGCTGTGGGTCTGGGGCAGGCCCTCAGGGCCCGCACTGCAAGCCAGCTCCCCTGTGATACCCACGCTGCTGGGTCATGGACCATGCTCTGAGTAGTGGGGCCTGAATGCTCATCAGCTTCTAGAGACAAGATCTACAGACCAGATGTGTAGCCCATAGCCGATGATGTTGGGAAAAACTGGGTGATGCAACTCTGGAAGCAGACCGCAGCTGCCCGAGGGTCGTGTGGGAGGGCCCTGAGCAAAGTCTTCACTGAGGGGAGCAGTTCAGGGGCACACACGTGGGGCTGGGAATCCAGGCTGCAGTGTTGTCTCTGAGGCACCCAGGCCTGCACCTGCTCTCGGGTTCCAGGTGCAGCACAGCCACGGCTTGCCCAGTGTCCACAGGTGACAAGGCACTTTGTCTCCGGGTCTCTGCCCTCATGGCGACTCTGCCAGGAGTTGGGAGGTGACACTTCAAAAGAAAGGCCAGCACAGATAGCCTGGGACTGTGTCAGCAGGCAGTGTGGCAAGCTGCTGGCCAGGGAAGGCCTCCCTGAGCAATGGCTGGGCTGCAGGGGCCTGAGCGCCCAGGGCTGGGGAGTCTCCACTTCACCCCTCTGCTGCAAGGTCATCTCTCCTTCTCCAGCACAGTCTGCACATTGGGCAGTGGGTGGTTCAGAAAAGCTCTGTGTTTCCCTGTCTGGGTGGCCGTGTGGTCAGTGCCCAGGTGTGTGCCTCACCTGAGACCTGGCCTGTGTGGCAGGTGGAGGGTCCACTGTACCAGAGAGTGGAGCCAGGTGTCTCATTGTGCTCGCTGGCCTTCCTGGAACACAGCCTCAGCTCCACCCCTGAGGCTGAAACACTGCCTCACTTTCTTCTGAGGAGAAGAGGAAAAGGGGACTCAGGCGTAAGGGCACCAGCTCGGGATGGCGGCCGGCCGGCCCCAGGGCTTTCTCTGTGCCCTGTCAGCAAGGACAGCCAGGCTGTAGTGGTGAGAGCGCACCTGGCCCAAACACTCCACAGAGGAGGGCTGGCCCAGGCCCAGGGCTCACCCGGTGTGCTTCAGTGACACCTGGGCTTCCTCTGAGCCTTAGAGTCCACGTCTGTGCAGCCTCTCTGAGAATTAGGCCATGAAGTCAACTCACAGGTCCCGGTAGAGGTGAGACAACCCTTCAAGGAGAGGGCTGGATGCACCAGCCTCCATTTCCTTTCTAACTGCTCCGCAGGGTGCAAAACTGAAACGACCTCTTCCCCACACGATGCAGCTGGGTGGAACCACAGCCCGAGGGACCCCTTCCTCACCTCCTGGCGGCCTCCATCATGAAATGGGCAAATACATTGAAAGAGTCTTCAAAAAATTTTTACTGAAGCCAAACAGCCTCTCACATCAGTGCCAGCTGGTGCACTGATACAGATGGGTTCCTAGAACACACACCTAGTGGGGGAAGCCTGTGCTACAAGGAGCCTGCCCTCCAGAAGATGAATCCTTTTGGGGGGGATCCCCCCTCATATATAAATGGAACAGAATAGACAGCTCAGAAATAAACCCACACCTTTATAGTAAGTCACTGTTTGACAGAGGAAGCAAGCACATACATTGGGGTAAAGAGAGTTTATCTAATAAATGGTTTTGGGAAAATTGGACACATACTTGCAGAAAACTGAAACTAAACTACCTTCCTACGCCTTTGACTGTGAGAATAGGTCGTCGTAGGAGAGTCAGTCCCAATGCGCTGCTGCTGCTGTACGTCATTTACGTGGTTCCTCCCGGGTTTTTCTGTGCCTTTTTCCTTTGACTAGTGGAAATCATTTACTCTATATAGTTTTGAATTGTGTTTTCCTCTAACTTATATTTTGTTGCATTCATTTTGAATGGGTTGAACTCAGCAGGAAGTGAGGGGAGGCGATGAGGGAATTCTGGACAAGCACCACAGCTGGGGGAAAGGCGTGGGGCCCAGGGAAGCGCAGGGCGGATCCAAGAAATGGCGAGGAATTATTTGACGCTAACCTGTAACTCTGATGAGTTGAGATTTAACGAGGAGTCTAGAAAAATATTTAATCTCAGGTGGTGGAGAGCCTGCAGTGACATAAGAAGGAATCTGTCGTTTATTTTCATTAAAGAATGAGACACTTTACATTGTACATATTTAGGAAAATGCAAATGATAACAGACATTTAGAAATAATTCCCAGTCCGAGGCAGGACAGTAAGGAGCGAGGAAAATTCCTTGGCAAGTGGAATGGTGGGCAAAGGAAGGAGGGGGATGGGGACACCTGTAATAGTGTCAACGGTAAAAGGAAAGAAAAAAATGGAAAAACGGAGGGGGAAACACACAGCTGATAACACAAGCCTGCCACCCAGGCATGTGCCCTGACCAGGAATCAAACCAGCGACCTTTCGCTTTGCAGGACGACACTCCACCCACCAAGCCACGCTGGTCAGGGTGGCGGCAGG